CCCAAGTTTGAAGTGTCCGACATTGTGACTGCTAATCACAAAAAGTCCCGCTTGGCGTACACAAAGGCGAGCAGCTAATTCCGACCGAATTGTTTTAACTACTTGGTATTCCTATATCAACGAGCCGTCCCAACTCCCATATTATCGCATTCCAATGTTTGAATGACGTTCTGGAAGGTGGTGGTAAATAATTTTTGCGAGATGGTATCGCCTTGCCTAACTCCTTTTTTGACGTGAATGTTAATATCGTTGCAGAATGGTAACGTCTTTGTTGTGAAATTTTTGCACAGCTAACGAATAATCTTTATGTACTGAGTAGGGACTCCTTGACTATCAAGGGCTTCCCAGACTGCTTCCATCTCAACTGAATCAAAGGCCTTCTGTAAATCGATGAAAGTGGGACAGAGGGGTCTTTTGTACTCAGCGTTACTTCAGCGAGCCGTGTTATCGTGCGGATGTGGTCCATCGTACTAAATCCTTTTCGAAGCCCTGCTTGTTCACATGGCTATCCTTGGTCTAGTGTTCTGTCAATCCTGTTTAGGATAACTCGAGTGAAAAGTTTGTAGACGACAGGCAGTAAGCAGACTGAGCGATAGTTACCGATATCGTCTAGGTCACTCTTCTTGAACAATCACACGGCCCTGCTGGTCTTTCACTGAATAGGGACCTTGCATTGTAACGTGTGGAGAGCAGAGCCAGTGTGTTTACGAGGACTGGCGAAAGGTTTTTCAGGTGTTCTGGTCTTATTCTCTCTGGACCTGGTGCTGTTCGATTCTTCATCGACGAAATGGCATGTCGGATTTCGGAAGGAAGAACCGGTGGTACAACATATCCATCTTCCTTTAGTTCATATGACGGAAGGTGGGCGTGGCTATCGAAGAGAACCGAGCAATATTCGTGAATGATTTTCTCCATTGCCTTTCTGGGCGCTGTAGCTGTTTTGTCTGGGCGCCTGAGAGCAATCATTTTGCTCTCGTAATTGGCGAAGCTTCGATGGACTTTGCGAATGCTCTTCCCAGCATCTGCAGCTTCGACCATCACCGCTGCTCTTCTCTCTCTAAGATCTTCCTTTATCGTCTGTCTTCATTGTTTTGCAAGTTCAGACGTTAGTTCGCGGTTGCCTGCAGCTCGTACAATTCCACGCTGGCGTATCAGCTCAAGTGTTTCTAGAGGCAAACGTCTTTTGGTGACTTTCGAACTCTCAGCTTTCATAGCGCTAACGTGAAGATGTTGAATGAGCCGATCGCATTCTTCGTCGATGTTATCGACAACGTCATCTTTCCAACAGCCAAATAATAAATTGAATAAGTCCCATTTTGAGGTGGTTCTGAAACTTAGTTTTTTTGAATTTAGCCGCTTTTTTTCCTATCCGCGAGAAATAGAATCTTGCACGAGGCAGGCGGTGGTCTGATCCTGTGTAGAATTTTTGGACAACATCGACATCGGTTAGGCAAAACCTTTTATTTACTATGATGTGGTGTATTTCATTACAGTACTCTCCATTGGGAGGCTCGCACGTCCAGCGCTGAGGGTGGGACTTCTGGAATTACGAGTTTCCATGGATTGTCATGGGCGACATGATAAAGTCAGATAGCCGCTCACCTTGTTCGTTCCATTCTTACCCGTGGTTTCCAATGTGACGTTCTTCAGACGTTCTTCTTGGTCCAGTCTTGGCGTTGAAGTCTCGAATGATTGAAGTTTTCTTGAAGAATGTACGGTCTTCTCTGTAGAACTGCACCAAGTCCATATAGAACGCTTCGACTTCTTCTTCGTTATAGTTTGATGTCGGCGCGTAAAAGACGAAGATTGTCAAAGCCGGAATTGATCCACGTTTTTTCAATCATAAACGACCGATTCGGTTGTAAGTTGTTCGAATGAATCGTTGTTCATGGACAAACTAGTGTTGACGATAACGCCGACGCCGCCGACTCCTCTACTGTCGCATGTTCCGAGGAACAGTTCTTCTCCGGTGTCATAGGCGGCGTTGAAAGGCCGGCGTCTCCTCGTCTCGGCCAGGCCGATAACGTCGTACCTTATTCTTCTTGCTTGCATGAGCAAGTCCTCTGTCGAAGACTCGGATGCAAGTGTGCGTGCATTGTAGGTACAGATCGTCACCACAGTTCCTTAAAATCCAAGCAGCTTCCATTGGCCCTGAGATTTTAACAGCCTCTCTGTACTCATCATACCCAATGCTGCGAAATTTGTGGCTCGTTCGGGGTCAGGGGAATGAGGTTTGTTTTTTTTTTAAACTGTGTTTAGCATTTCTGATACCCACATATAGTTTGCTTAGCTTTGAAAGTGGGGACTAGGTTTACTCACGGGCAGCTTGCCAGGCTCTACCAGAGTGGACATGGAGCTTATTTGTTGGAGGCGACTCCTGAACGCCTCCCATATACTTCCCTGTCGCTTGATTGCAGGCTTTTGGCCCAATTGACTCGTAGAGTACAATACACATAAACAAGAACGCACCCACACGCGCATTACGCCTAGCAAATATAGAAAGTATGTGCCAAATCAGCGCAGCAGAAACAAGGAGTCCATCCACTGTATCCACTTGCGTCTCAGGGAAGCAAAGGTCGCTTTTGGTCCGCGATTAACCCCCTATCCGTCGCCTGGGGACGCGCCACGTAGCCTCGCGACTAACCGTCTCGAGATCCCTCATATGAGAAAGATCCGTGGACTGTCTATTGTATGGATACAGTACTTTTATTCTACTCGTTCCCTCTCACCCATCGCCGGCTCAGGTCTTCTAAATTTTGCTTTTCATTTTGAACTGCTGCTTGAAAAGTTTCGTCTTCTTCAGAAATGTCGTTGAATGCTCTCGCGTGAATGAGAGAAAGTGGATTTTTCGCCAAAAGGTGTGGTAACAGTTCCCCGATCCCGGAGGAAGAGAGACTTGGTGTGCCAGCAACGGTGTCGAACCAGCTCCTGGGTGGCTTACGCCGTCAACGCAACAAATATGTTTATAATTTATGAAAACTTGTGTAGGTTTTTTATATAGGCAATCTATGAAATAGAATTAGGCCAATGAAAGCAATATTTCTCAACAGTTATCAGTTTTAGAAGCTTCCTAAAAAAAGTACAGGACTTTTTCTAGCGAAGAAAACCTTTTAGGTCGGGTTTTGGAATATCTAACCACAGATGTAATAATGGACGTGGGTGCAATACTCATCGGTGGATGACAGCTAAGACAAACAAGAAATCTTAAATGATTGATTGGAATATTACTGAACTACAGTCGTAACTATAATCTCTGCGTGGATATAGTCTACATGATTAATCTTCTTTGTAGGTTCATTTTATGGTGCCGATTAATAATTCTACTTTTATGTTTGGCAAAATAATTACTCATATTTTCGTGTCTAAGTAAAGAAATACCATCTATTTACAGAAAAACTTAGTTTTGAATTATCTCAAATTGTTCACTATATCACCGTGGGCCACGATCTTTCTATTTGTTAAAGTGCGATTAGTAGCCGGTGGGGTCTGAGGCAATCTCAACGGGAATGTCAATGAAACTGAAGACCACAATACTACTATCTTGATGACCGATTGATTGGTAAACTATGACGTGGTAGAGCACAGAGAGTACCCATTCGCCTAAAAAAATAGCATAATATCGAAGAATCCATGGTCTTTATATCTCATTGAATTTGCTGAACCGAATGAGCAGCTTTGGTACTCAAAGAGTGAGAACATAATCAAACATTATTATTTCAAGCTAATCGATAATTAATAAAACTCCGTGTAATTCGAGTGATAATTATTATTCAGAATTTCTTTTTCTGAAAAAAGAAACAAGAAGTAAGGAATTCTATAGCAGCGAAAAGGCGCGTGTGGCGCAGTGGTCGGGGGCGCTCTGCGACACAAACGAGGAATCAATCCCCGATCCCATGGCCATTCATCTCTCCGAGTTTGGCAAATTAGTATCAGACTTGTCTGAGAGGAAGGCAGCACTGGCTCGATACATCGATTAGATCACCGAGAGTCATTGTAAAGGCCAGACATGCATTCAATCACCTCCAAACGGTGCTTAATGAAGTCGAATGCATGGCGCATCCCTCAGGAATTGATCAATGCCGAGAGCTTTATCCTTTATCCTTTTTATAGCAGTGAACTGTTCTTTGGAAGGTTTCATCGTTTCGCTGAAATCATCGCCTTTTTTGGAACAATGGAAATGCGTTTTTTGCTGAAATTCGAGTTTGAAAATTTTCGTGTCGTTCTCGATAACGTCAAAAATCGGCGATGGGCAACACCTGTGCTCAATTTGGCCTTTACGAAGCACTTTAGAAAAATTGTTGAAATGTACACCAAAACTTGTGTCGACATGCTTTGGACACTTTTTGAAAATTGTCTTTATTCCTTCTACAGTAGTGTGGCTTCACTTTCAAGAAAGCTTCACCATTTCCGGAATGGTCAAAGTCCATTAATTTACAAGACTTCTTGCTTCTTATTGACGGATGAAAAGTTATTCGAACATTTGAAGTTCACATGTCTTCATCAATCACGGTGAATCAGGCAGGCTTAAGCCAAATTTTCAGCTTTTGGTAACTAGCAAGTGGGTGAATTTACCTAGAGTGTCGTCTCAAAAGTCGTGTTAGGAATTTTCCAGTTCGTCACCACTTACCAGCTAATGAGTAAGTAGGTTGCTGCTTAAATAGCATTTAGTCACGGCACTAGGATCAAGTGCTGGACTCCTTCCCAGTAGTTTGGGAAATCATGACGACGACGCACCTTATCCTTATCTGACAGCTTACTTCGATATTCTTGAATAGCAACAATAAGACAGTCAACTAATGAAAGATTTCATTTTGGCATTTTGGGTACTGTATTTCCAATTTATTTTATAATTACGTGACGCGTGACCACATCTACTGTGTGGATCGCAACAATTTTTACATGAGGTTCGTTTTCGCGTCATTAATCAGTACGTCTAAATTTGCTTATGAGCGCATTGTCACCATGTTAAAACACTATTCTAACAGGCGAAGTTATCAGATATGATAAGGGTGTGTGGAGGCTTATCCAACAATATTTACGAAGGAAGGGATTTCCATTCGACGGTCATGAATCCTGTGGTTGGTTGTTAACAATTTCTATTTTCATTGTTACCTTTTCGAATGTTCTCAGCACTATTACGTTGAAAATGGCCAAGTGATATAGAATATAAAAAACAATATTACTGAAAGCAGAGAAGTCATTTGAAAAATCGCATCAGTATTCATCATTACTGGAGCTACCTCACCTTTTGTTCCCTTTTTATTATGCCGAATGACTTTTGTATGTTTATTAGTAGTGAAACATTTTGCATTTAGCTTGATAAAGACGATGCAGCACTCAGCAGTCTACTTGAAATTACAAATTCTGAAGCTATGGTGCGTTCTATTACTATTCGTATTGGTTATCTCCTTAGTAACTTTAAGAAATTGTGTTCACTTTTACCACTTTTTAGCTTCACTGCAAAGAAATGATAGATGTAAGCAAGCACGTGAAGCAACTGTCGGTGCGATATCTATCGACAAAAATGCCAAGCTTAGATAATTTGGACAACTGGATCGTTCTGCCTTTGTTTCGGCGTGGACAGGTTAAAAAAAAGAAAATAACGCCTTCGCCCAATCTCTAGAAGTTAGACCATGCATTCGACTTCGTTAAGTAACGTATAAATAACTGGATACATAATTGTCATATAAAATGTCTTACGGCAGCCGACCAATGTGTAGCTGATGACTGATGAATGACTTCGTTTGCGAAAGACGATAGATTGAACTAGCAACTGCGTATTTATTGCTCTTAAGGTCTTAGTAACTGCGCTCAGCATTTGCTTCTGGGGGGCGTACTTCTCTCGGAGTGTAGAAAAACTTGAAACCGAATATGAGGACGATAAATAGTAGATATTACTATTGAAATAACAGCGCAGAAAGAAGCGGCAGTCGTATTACCTGAGCAAGATACCCATAATTAATTTAATCTAATTTCCTTCGACATGCAGGACACTCCAATAGACAGTGATGGACGCACTGCCATTTTGGTTGCACATGCACCATCGTTAGAGCAATTGCTTAAGTCGTGGTCCGAAAGAACCGCAAACGAACATCGAGAGAAAGAAAAACAAGGTCAAAGAATGGCTGAAGAAGGCAAAGCTCCAAATGATAGGTTAGTGCGGTCGTTCTTGTAATAAAATTCTTAATCCCGTTTATGGTAATTTTACAAGACAAGTTGCTATAATTTTACATTCAATAGCTATAATGGATCACAATAGCTGTATGGAAGCCGTGGATACAAAAAACATTCAGATAGACACAGTAAAAATTAAAGACAGTTCCAAACGATGACATCAACGAGTTTGAATAGTGGACCAAAGTAACACGTACTTATTAATAACGTAAATACCACTCATCCTATACAGCTTTAAAGCAAATTTTCTCCTAAAATTCTGTCATTTTTACAACAACTAAGCTTATCTAGTTATCGCAAAATTAATGGCACTTTTCAGAAAGACAACGCACCCACACCTGATCGCCTGCATCACATGTCGACTCGTTGGTTGTCGAGTGACTAGGGCGAGCGCCACTAAATCATTCACTTTCCCTTATCGCGCGCAAGAGTAGCCCAGTGGGTTCCACTAGCCCTGGAGACTTGTTGAGTGACATGCCTTTTTTCAATGCTTTTTGTGAGCACTCTGACCATGGAGTAGGTGGTCCTACCGCAGTACGTTAGATATCCCAAGGAATCCAGTCATTAACGGCTCTTGTCCATCGATTGTCGTTCATACGCATTACGTGTCCGGCTCACCTTATCATCGACTGTTTGGTTTACACAATGGAATTTTGACTTATTTATTTATCTTATGAACTGATCTTTATCTGACGCGAGGTTGGTACAGGTCTTCGTTGTCGTTGTTGTTGTTGCTGTTGTTCTTATTGGTCGATAGCTGACGTTTCGGCGATTTCGCCTTCCTCAGAGCCGTAATGTTACGAGTGGGACTCCTATCACGTCCTGACAGGTAGGGGTGCCTAGCGTCACGCTTGGTAAATATGTCAAAAGGAAAATCATGCGTTCTCTCCGTGGTTATCCGTCTCCTCGTAGCTTGAGAGTCTTACTTTGCGTCAAACAACGACATACAGAGGATATTAATTCTCCTAGCAGAGTTGGGAAGCTGATAAGCTCTATATTTCTATCCTGAAACCAGCAAGGACTAATCCAATTTTAGAATTCGTAACTGCCCTTAGAAGCGCCTCGTTATTGGAGATTAATGAGTGGTTATCTGTGTCTAACTATGATGTACAACGGTTAATTTATTCCCCAAAAGACTCTCTCGAAACAAGAAATAGTTCTATATTTCCATCCAAAACTCTACACAAGAGTAAATCAGTAGTAGAAAACATATCCATCCTCGTAAAAATTAGCTCCAATGTAGAAGACCTCCTATTAACAATTAGGGCGAATCCACATGGTTACAACGTAGATGATATCGAGCATTCTGAGAAACCAGGTAAAGACGTCTTGACCACCTCCCAGAAACAACTTGAATTAGGATCTTGGTTGAGAATACTGAGTCCGCACAATCACTAGGGAACTGGTACATTAGTGAGTTACTTGCATCACAACAGTAGAAAAAAAAGAAGATATTTATACCAATTTTTGAAGTGTTTTCTCATTTACACATTCCAGAATAGAATATGGAGAACGCAAACAGTTTTCTCCACAAAGCAAAAGCGGCAACTGTCTGGAAGACCATTTACAAAACAAAATTCATCAGACCACAACCAACTTTCGATCTTCCATAGATAATGAAAACAACGTGTAAGTGATTATTTTTTAAGCAAATTGGAGAGTGAAGTGTTTGTTCACTACTGCATAATTCTATTGTCATTTAAGAGATCAAACCAGAACAAGCACTTCCAGCACTACGAGCCCGAGAAGAAAAGTGTCGTCTAGTGAATTCGATTATGAACAATTTTCATTTCACGATATGCCCATGGATAATACTGGAGCAATGGAAGAATGCGAACTCTTAGAAATGGGTGGTAAGTGGCTTGCTTCCGTGTTTATGTTGTCTTCTATTTTTCTCGTATTAAAGGGTTCCCATATATCTTACGTTTCATTTCCTACCTTCTATAATTTTTAGGGCAGGGTATTAGGAGAAATGCAACCACAATGTTGCTGAGATATTTGCAAAACTCTGGACCGCAGGTGTATGCGGTGGGTAACGAACGCACTATTGTCCTTTACGGGGAGTAGCGCCTTCACCACCACACTATGCGGGTCCTTCGTTTCGCCTGTCTCTCAGCTAGTTCTATCTATCAATGCCGTCAGCAATCACCTGTCAGCAGAATTGATCTCATATATTTCTTTACAGGCTGTAGTCCTCCAGTACTGTATTCTATGGATTCACCATTGTATGATACCGAAAGAGTTCTGGATCTTGGAATCTACAGCGAAGAGTGTACTCTACCAGGCTGTGAAGATTGGACTTGCCCTGTTCAATCTTGTTCTTTCGCTGTTGAGCAGGTGTACATACATATATATGTATACATATATTCGTCATTTATTGCATAACCTCAAGTCACGTGTGTCACAATGTTCCTTTCCCACCACTGGCATTCGATACCCTTCCTCGCATCCGTCATCAACGAAGGTCTTCGAACGTTTTACGTGTGGCTTGCTGGTTGGGAATTTTTTTCATTTCGTTAAGAATGCGGGTGAAACTGCTTAGTTTATCATTCCTGCAATCTTGAGATGGCCGTGCTAGGGCGTTCCTACGTGGATCGACAAAAAAAAACGTTGAGAACCTCTGCGTATTTTTAGGCAGACTATGCCTATTAGAAAAATGGCAACTCTGCGGAACTGTCTACAAGGTGCTGATTAGTCAACATAGTTGAAAGCTAAAGACCACAACTTAACGACTACGATGATAGTGATGACATATGATGAGATGACTACAAATATAAGTCATTCCTTCTCAAAGTAACACCATTGTCACAATGAATAAGCATCATTAGCGGTTTTTTTTTCATCATTTGAAAGATTTTTGGTTCCATTAAATTTGTACTTTGAAAAACATTAGCATTTGCAAACTTTTTGTTTTCAATAAAAATCAAGGCCCTTGAAAGATAGAATTCCGCCAGTGTCGACATTTAAAAACTTTTTCAGCAAACTTTTCGGCAACACAGATATATATTGAAAATAAAGATCACCTTTTTAAATCTTTTTCAGCCATTCTTCACTTAAGCGAATAGGCACGAAACGGTTTTATTCGCCATATAAAGGCGAATCCGTAGGATTTACCCAATTCATTAGTCGGCTTCTAGGAAAATGCCGTTTTCGATAACATCGATGAGGAATGCAATCGGCTCAGTCAGCATCTTAACGGTTGCGCCAGGAAAGTTGAGAGTTCGAAAATCACCAAGAAAGGTCTGTCTCCAGTAACACTCAAGCTGATACGCCAACGTGGAATCGTACGAGCCAAAGACAACGGTTGACTCACGTGCGAACTTAAAAACAATCCAGACAGGCGATAGAAGAAGATCTTTAGAAGTGGACTTCAGCACCTGTTGTCAAAGATGCAGAGAAATGGAAAAAACCTTCGTAAAACCCACTGAAGCCTTGTCAAGTACAAAAACTACATGATTGCGCTCCAACGGCCAGACGGAACAGTTACAGCTTCCAGAAGGGCAATCAAGAAAATCATCCGCTACTATTAGCCAGATTTCTTCCAACATGCTATTTCGTCGGTGAAAAATCGGATAGCACCAGGCCCGGAGAGGATACATCCGAACAGCTGGAGAACCTTCTACCAGTCCTCTTCAATAACTGGCCCGACTCTTCACACGTTATCTGTGTGAATGAAAGGTCCCTACTTAGTGGAAGACAAGCAAGACCGTGATATTGTTTAAAAAGAGTGATCAACACTACATTTGCAACTATATCCCAATCCGCTTGCCTGCCGTCTTTAACGCTTTCACTCGAGTCATTCTATGCAGTAATGACAGAACACTGGGCGAAGAACAGCCATGTGAGCAAGCAGGGTTTCGAAAAGGATTTAGTGCGATAGATCACATTCACACGATAACACGGCTCATTGAAGTATCGCGAAAGCACAAAAAATCGCTCTGGATCACTTTTATTAACTTAGAAAAGGATTTTATCAGCTGAGATAGAAGCAGTAATGGAAACACTGAATAGTCAAGGAGTCCCTATTCAGCATGTAAGGATTCGTCATGGGCTATACAAAAATTTCACAACCAAGATATTACCGTTGTACGACGATATTAACATCGACGTCAAAAGAGGGGTTAGGCAAGGCGATACCATCTCGCCAAAATTATTTACCACCACCATCGAGAACGTCATACGAACATTGTAATGAGATAATATGGCAGTGAAAATCGATGGTGCGTAATTACATCATCTTCGCTTTTCTGATGACATCGTCCTTATAACACCAAACATTAGCCAAGCTGGAACGTATGCCTGACGACTTTGATAAAGCCCGTGGAAAGGCTGCTCTTCAATTTAGGCTCACAAAAACGATGTTTATGAGGAACGGACTAGCTTTATATGCCTCATTCACGCTCAACGGAGCGAATTTCTCCGAATGCTCCAATTATATCTGTCTAGTTGAGAAAATCAATATGTTGAACGACCTAGCTCCAAAGCTGAGCAGAGGGAAACGAGCGACTTGGAGAGCTTCCGAGAGCATCGAGGATGTAGTGAAGAGAACAAAGAACACCCGACTTCGTCCCCTAACTGAAGGAATGAAGCTGATGTGTAGTGTAACTAAAACGCGGAACTTAGATCCCTTTGAAGGATCGTAAACGTCATTGGTCTTTTCTTGAATTTGTTAATAGGTTTGTATAATTGCATATCACGTTATTTTTCCAAGCCCTAAAGGGCTATTTCGTCTCGAAATTTCTATTGAAAAATGTACCAAGTAACTCAAAAGACCGATTTTCTATAAGTCTTGGCAATAAATACTTGATGTTTGTTTATATGTTCTTATGAACCAATTTTGTTGAGCTGATGCGAGGTCGGTACAAATCGTTGTTGTCGTTGTTGTTAGTGTTGTTGGTCAACAGCTGACGTTTCGGAGACTTCGCCTTTCTCGAAACCTGGCCGTATTTTATGTAGCAATAGTCTTATATTCAGTGAAATACCTATGGTCTTAATAAAGATCAACCTCTTAAATAAAAGTCATTTTGGTCAAAAAGACTACTCACCGTGTTGTTACGAGTGGGATTGCCGGCACATCGTTCACATGGGATGGCGAGCAACACCCACAAAGGTCAAAAAATCATTTTGAAATAGGGCTCCATGTCACGTTGATAGTGAGGCATTCTTCTTTTCGGCTCATTTTTGGCTTTTTAAAATTTATTTGAAATGCCTCATAAGTCCTCCGCGTTGATGTTTTTAATTCCTGCTCTAGGATCCGCGCGGTCACTTTAAAATCATCGCCATTGTGCTTTTGTGCCCTATGTGTATGTACTTTGAGGAGTGCTTTGACGAAATTAAACGTTCCCATCTAAGTGTTCTTTCATGCGGACACAAAGCGATCTACCCGTTTCCCAATATTATCCCTCACCGCATGCCTTCCATGAGATCAAGTATATTGTACCTGAACTCATACAATCCCCGTCTCTCCCGTTAGGACAGATCACGCAGTTTTCTGAGCTGCGCAAACGATCACAGAGGAGATAACATAACTGACAGCGTAGAGTACTGGTTGGGAGGTCAATAACCGCCACGTAATTTTCAAGACAACTTTTCCTTAAACAACTCTCAATGGCGTAACATATTTCATTTTATATGAAGGTATGAAGGACAGCTTAAAAGAGATCTTAGTCATGTTTGAAACACTATTTTGAGAAACAATTCTACCTTTCTTGTCTGACCGGAGTGGCTTCTACTTCGTAGCCATTGGAAATGGCTATTTTTCGTGATAGGTTTAGCGATTCTTTCCTTTCTTCTTCTCTCATGTACACATTTTTAGCCGTTCGGTACATGTTTTTGATCAGTGCTTTTTCATGTGTGAAGGATGAGAGGAGAGGTAGTGAACTAGTATATTTTCACTACTTGGCTTACGATACCATTTTGTTACATAGCCACTTTTTGAGAACTTTATCTGGATGTTTAAGAGTGGAAGCCAGCTCTCGGCTGGTTTTTCTCACGTGAATTTTATTTACTTTGACTGTCTATTTAGCAACTCAAAGCACCCATACGTCTGTTCTTGTGTGGAACTGGCGATGAGGCAATGTAGTGAATAGTAAATGCTTACATGAGCAGCTCGAGCTGCATTGGGTACAGAGCCCATCTGTTTGTCACCAACGATTGGTGATTTGAGAGGTTTGCCCGATTGGCTCCATCTCGTCATTTTTCAGGAAAAAAATCACATTTCTACAAGAGAGAGTCCTATTTAAATCTTATTTTCATGTGTTACTACTTTCCACAGTTGTTTGTCTCCAAATTAGAGCTCGGAAAAGCGGTACTTCTCGAAGTAAATTTGTGCTCTTGGTTTTACCTGTAGGAGTTCCATAACTTTTCTCGAATTCGAAACTTGAAGGTCTTTCCGTTTGAGTTTGAAAAACTAGCTTTTGCTTCCAGTTGCTATAAAATATTGGTGTGTGTATTCCACGTCCTGCTCATCACCAGTGCAGAACGAAATTATTCTGCGTAAAATATGCCTATACGATATTTAGGGATTTGTCAACAATGACAGGTCAAATACAGTTACTGCAAACTCAAAGCGCAACTGCGATCTTACTGAAAACTCTAACACTGTGAAGAAATCTTGTAAGTGGAGTGTACGTTTACCTCAAGACCTATGAATTTGTACCTATTACAAAGATGGCTATCTATTTCTTTCTTTGCTTTACTTCCTTCTCTTGACAGATATGAACGAGATGTGCTATTCGTTATCAGACTATGACCCAGAAGATGTGATACAGATGGAACGTCAGTTGGCTAGTATTGAAGCTGACAAGGTAAAACAAGTTGTTGAGGCAGGTTTCACTTGTTTCCTAGTTCTTCTTTTTTTTTATTTTTCTCTGAAATATATAGTAATCGATTGCGTCATATTAAATAATTAAACTAGCCAATTAACTTATTTAGCTCACAACTGCTATAAACAATGATTTTCTTCTCGAGTCTTTTCATGCCGCTTCGGACCTGAAGAGGGAACTCAATGGTAAGTTTTTCCAGATTACATAGCGGATCACTGCATTTTAACATCACTTCTTTCTTTTCAATCATCCAGTCCAATAACCTTTGTGTAGCGAACTCAAAAATGTTGCTTACCGGCAACTAAGAATGACTGAGAATGTGGTGCATGTGTTTTCAGCATTATAGAATGATGACGCGTTGTACTATGAACGTGTCTTTATGTTGTCATCTCTGACGCGTGCTATTTAGTGGGATTTTACTAGATAGTATATTTACAGGTTCAGTCACTTAATGCTATCAAAGTAGCAAAGTAAAAATGAATAATGCATTTTCGAATCCTCACTGCATATTTTTACTTTTAAGTAAGTTTTGAACTCAACGAGAATTTCGTGATAAAGTAGACTTAAAGTAACACAAGGCGCCACGCGATCATCACGAGGCCCTCTAACTTTAGAATTTTAGGAGAAACAATGGAATTTCCGGATTTCATAGAAACAGCATTACAAGGAAAATCGTCATGTGCGGTAAATAAGCTGCTATTAGATTCACGATAAAAAGCACACATCTGCTACATTTTATGAATTCTCTAGAAATTTAGACACTTTTGTCGACATCATTTTCATTCCTTCGACATTGCCCCTAACTGAAGGAATGAAGCTAATGTGTAGTGTAACCAAAACGCGGAACTTAGATCCCTTTGAAGGATCGTAAACGTCATTGGTCTTTTCTTGAATTTGTTAATAGGTTTGTATAATTGCATATCACGTTATGTCCTAATGTAATGTAATGTTAGTCCTAAGCTTCTAATTTTTTTTCGCGACGAAAATTAAGGCAAAACGTTTACGGCGGTCCTAACTTTATTTCCTTCACATATCTTGTTTTTAAAAACACATACCGACTTGGTGTGTGTGCTGACTCTAAACCAATAGCATTTAGGTCGTCGAATCAGTAAAACGGTCGACAACAGATCCGCCTATACCATCCTCAAAAACAGAAGGAAACCAACCTGTTTCCAGCCGAATGAAGCAGAGCTTCTTATACCCCACAACCGAAAGCCTACACATTGATGTGAGCTCATTGTTGTCGTTTCTATTCATATATTCAAACTGAGATATGTTGAACTACATAAAAGACTGCCAAGTGAGAAGCAAGACCCTTCACTAGATGGTAGCGATTTCCAAGCAAGTGTTCATATCATTAAGTTTAAACACTTATTGGAAGGTTTCCTTTTATCTTAGCTTCAGTTTCACGCATTCAACGACGCTGCGCATTCATTATGATGCTCGCGTAATGGGCCAACCTGGGCGACGCACGTTGATTTCGGTGTGATTTTGGCTGCTGTTTTTTGTGCGATGCACAAACCCTCTTCCTGCAATTTCTTTTGTGCCATACTGATAACTTCCCTGTCGTGAATGTTGATTTGTCGATAGATTTATTTTGCCAGGCAAACTCTTTAAAATATAATCTTTATTAAATTGGCGTATTTCCTACCATAAATTTCTGACGTGGTCTGAGAAGAGTTCTTCTTCACAGATTATAATTCGCAATAACTTCCCCAAAATTGACTCTTTACGCGTGGTCGATCTGTTTCGCATGCAGTTCATGGTGCACATTATTGTGGCAAGTACTGAAACATCTTATACAGGAACGTTCACATATTTACTGCATCTGGCGCACCTTGCTTGACATGTTTGTAAGATATCTGGAGCCATGAGATTGTGGTAATCCTTTACCACACATCAAGCACATCGTCTTCAATTATAGCAATTGTAACTCTTTTATTTACTGCCTTTTTCTTCTTAATGGCAGGGTATGTTGTGAAATAAAACTCGTACGAAGTGCTGAGGTATTTGCAAAACTCCGGACCACAGGTGTATGCAGTGGGGAACGAACACGCACTGTTGTCCTTACCGGGGAGCAGCGCACTTCACCACTACACCATCCGGGTCCTTCGCTTTGCATGTATCTCAGCTAGTTCTATCGAGACCGTAACGAGGCCTCAGCTTAACTGGGTTCAATGCCGATATTGGCTCCTCAGATCAATCCCGTCGACGGGTGATTGCTGATGGCAAAAAGATCGATAGAACTAGCTGGGATACATGCAAAGCGAAGGACCCGGATGGTGTAGTGGTGAAGTGCGCTGCTCCCCGGTAAGGACAACAGTGCGTGTTCGTTCCCCACTGCATACACCTGTGGTCCGGAGTTTTGCAAATATCTCAGCACTTCATACGAGTTATAGCAATTGTATTAGTTCGTTAGTGGGATATTGGTCTCGAGAACTGTCATAGTTGTCAAGCATTCTGCGGGGATCATGAAAAACCCTAACACGAAAAAACCAAGAGCCACCTTCAGTGTAGCCTGACTAGGATCCTCGGTATTGTTTCCGGACATGATTTAGCCTAGGTTGGCGCAATGAGTGCTGCGACCAGAAAGTATGGTGACAATAATGCGTTTTGTTGTCAATGTGGAATCAACTGCAACACTCCTAGAGGTCTCTACCTTCATAATGCAAAGGTATATGTAATTGTTTTCTCTGTGCTACTTACAAAAGAAATCTCCATTTCTACTGTCACTTATTTAATCTTTCCAGATGCATACCGAAGGTGGAGTAAAGTGCGATGTGTGTTTCAAACCTCTAAAAAATCGCATTACTTTACTGAAACACAAGAAACTACATTTGGGTCCCGAAGATATGCAATTCATCTGTGCTGAATGCGGCAGAGCATTCAAGGTTGTAGAAGTTGTTAGAAAAAATCAGTTTCATATAATTTGTTGGGAAAATATGGTGTTTTAAAGCTTTCTTTACAGGATAGACGAGCACTCTCTGCCCACACCGCACATGCGAAACATAGGACTTTTGTGGGATAATTTAAAACACGAGATATTTTCGACAACAGTATTGTTGTAAATGGCACATTCATGAGCAGCCGGTGGTCTTTATTGTGCTAATTAGTAGTGTTAATGGAACATAAATTTTTTCAGAAAGACATGGCTTGTCCGTCAATGTTAAGGATAAAAATTATAAATACCAAGTTAGAGTTTATTTAAGTGAGATTTCTCAACAGATTAAAAACTGATCATTTCTGCCATCTACGTCTTTTGTGCAAAGGACTGATTTGAAATTTAATTCAAAATAATCTATGTGGTGGTAACAATGTGGACGAATAAATCACGTAAGTATTGTCCTTCTTGGCAACAAGGACATCAGCAACACAAAAGATTATTAGCGAAAATGCTTGATTCGTCTTTCTGTCCTCCACAAGTTGTTCAGACCACGTTGAAACAGTCGGGAACACTATGGAAGTTACGTGGACAGTTATGTGCACTGTATGTAAAAAAAAAATTCATGATCTGCGTCTTCTCATATCATGAAATAGTATAGTACTTCAACATTCCTTCCCATAGCTCATTGTTTTCTTGGTGAGAAAACACGACGTTGTTCTTACAGCATTTATCCCTCTACAATAGCTGACTTTTAGGTTGTTTAGCCTTCTTCAGAGCCTAGAAAGGTCAAATTGACATGCCACTCATTCAGCTAAACACTTTTATCTCCTGGCAAGTAAAATTTAATGGATAAATTTCCATTCGTATAATATGCAGCTTTTTCAAACATCGTTTTGCTTTTTGTAAGCCTTCAAGCTGCGCGGATTAGGCACGCCATGCGGAATCTTACATGAGCAATTACCAACATCTCCCGTTCTATACTTACTTTTCAAAGCACACAAGTAAGTATCCACTAATGATTTGGCAACTAGTGATCTCCTAGTCATTAAGTTTCGACCAACCACATGTGAACAGACGATCCGACGGAAAGAGTAGCTTGGTATATAAACGCAATTTTTTAACCAGCTAACAGAACAAATCCCACTCCGTTTTACGAATATCCTAATGTTCCTGGACCGTCTACGTAAAATGCATCCTAACAGGGCTTACATGGTGGATTCCTTCCACGTTACTGCCCTTTTATGCAAGCATACGGAATGACTCCGCAATGCAAGCTTTCTGCAAGCTACCTCTGCAACACGAAGGAGTAATAAAAATGTATGTCTTCTCAATTCAGCAGCTCATGGCTCTGGGAGTGCTTTCTAAACCGCTGGATCTTCACAAGGTCCAGAAGATATTATGCACACAAGAAGGTTGGCAATCAGACGGTCATATGCACCAAACCTTTCAATTGCCATTATGTTTAAGGTGGAAACACCAGCAATGAATTTCCAGCATCACGCTACTGTAGATATATAGGTGATCTTTTATCATCCCCACACAAGAGGAGATAGACAAATGTTTTGAGTGATTGAACGAACATTCAACGTATATTAAGTTTCCCTGAGAGAAACCGAAAAACTAACTCCCACTTCTGTGCGCTCAAATTAACCTACCCGTTAATGGCACCAAAGTGCTATCCAAACCCAAGTAGTAAAAACATACTGGTTCATTACCACTCCTCTCACCCTCACACACAAAAAGAGCTCGTGTAAAACACATTTGCAACAGATACCAGTGTTTGGACAGGAAGAGGGCAGAACGAAGAATACCTAAAATTGGAGCGATAAATCGTCATTTCCAATGGCTCTCAAAGAATAGCTTTTCGGGATATATCTAAAGGAAGAACGACGCCTCCAGCGGTAATTCAAGCAAGAGTATAGCACCCTTCACTTCATTCCCAACGAAATGAGGCCAGCTACAAAACATTACTGAATACTCTCAGATGTCAGCTTACAGTCGCCTGTATACCCACCTTACCCACTTATGAACAACACAACGCGAAATTGCATAAGGCGTCATAACGGTGGCGATAGTGATTGCATGAGTTCGGGTACGGTGCACCTAATCTCTTGTGAAGCATGTGGGGACGAACACGCTTGCGAAACAACTCCGCGTCCGTTAAAAAGTACATCTAGTCGACAAATTTAAATTGAAACCAATACCGCGCTTGTAAGAAACACAGAAACGTAAAGGATATCTACAAACTAACTAAGAAAAGAGCTAAACGAAGGACCCGCATGGTGTGGTGGCGAACACGCTAGTCTCCGGAAAGCGTAATAAAC